CTATAGTGAGCAAGCCAGGAAAGCATCCAGACTCTCCACACACTCTGGACAGCCTAGTTGGCTGCTCTGATATCCTCACAGTCAAGAAGAATTACTCATGTTCACGCAGAATTTCCTGTGTTCCTGTGTGTGCCCGTTGCCTCTTAATTCAGTCACTCAGCAACAGCAAAAAGAGCCTGGCCCCAACCATCGACTACTGTCCATCAGATATTTATAAGCATTGATAAGACCAACTCTCAGCCTTCTCTTCTTGCGCTGAGGAGCCCAGGACAGGACACGGTACTCCAGATGCGGCCTCACCAGGGCAGGGGAGACGGGGAGGATCACCTCCCTTGACCTGCTGGCCACGCTCTTTGGAAGGCAACCCAGGATCCCACTGGCCTTCTTGGCCGCCTGAGCACCCTGCTGCCTCATAGTCAGCCGACTGTCCGTCAGTACACCAAGTCCTTTTCCGTCAGGCAGCTTTCCAGCCACCCCTCTCCAAGCCCGTAGGGTTGCCTGGGGCTGTTGTGACCAAAATGCAGGACCCGACACCTGGCCCTGCGGAAACTCATAGAGTTTACCGCGGCCCAGCGACCCAGGTCCCTCTGTAGTGCCTTTTCCCCCCCCTGGCAGAGCAACGCTCCCTCCCAACTTGGAGTCATCCGCAAACCCACTGAGGGTGCACTCAATTCCCTCATCAAGATCGTTAATAAAGATGTCAAACAGAAGCGGCCTCAGTACCGAGCCCTGGAGGACACCACTCTGGACTGGCCGCCAACTGCACTTAACTCCACTGACCACAGCTCTTTGGGCCCGGCGTTTCACCCAGCGGAGCGTACGCCCATCCAAACCGTTGGCAGCCGCCTCTCCACAAGAATGTTGTGGGGGAGGGTGCCAAAGGCAGACCACATTGACAGCCATACCTTCATCCATTGAGTGCCTTACCTTGTCATAGAATGAAGTCAGGTTTGTCAGACAGGATCTACCATTCATAAAGCCATGCTGATTGGGCCTCATCCCCCAGTTTACCATTAACTGGTCCGTGAGGCCTCCCGAGACGATCCATTTCATGGCCTTTCCTGGCACCGAGGTGAGACTACAGGTCTGTAGCTATCAGGATCATCTTTCCAGCCCTTCTTGAAGATGGGTGTCACGTTTGCCAGTCCAACGGGACGTTTCCAGTTAGCCAGGACTGCCGAAAGAGGGTGGAGAGTGGCTCGGCAACCACATCCGCCAACTCCCTCAGCACCCTAGGACGCAGTCCATCTGGCCCCACGGACTTGTGAGCACCCAGCTTTCAGAGCAGGTCCCAAACCATCTCATCGTGGATTGTGCAGGGCCTATTCTGTTCCCCATCCCTACCTACCGGCACAAGGGGCTGTGTGCCCAGGGAGTAACTAGTCTTACTATTAAGGACTGAGGCAAAGAAGGTGTATGGGAGCTGCTGAGTCACAGCCTGAACCACTGATTGATCGCCTGAGGCAAGGACTGACTCAGCCACGGGAGCACGGGTGGAGGCAATTCAACTGTGTGACCCGGAGGGGTGCAGCCTGGCTCCACCTCTCCCAGACCCCATTTGAGGGCTGACTGCCGCTGGGGAAGGATCTCTTTCCGGAGATCCCTCCCTTTGGAGTTTTCTACTGCGAGCCTAGGCCACGGCTGAGCGTTTGATTTTTGATTCTCCCTTTCCACCACGATAATCTTTCTAATGATAAAACCCGTATAATACCATCCTAACCACGCCACTCTGCTATCTGTACGTTTGTAAATCATACAGAACAAGTACCTCAGCCTTATCCTGACCCTTGGTCACCACGTTGCCCTCAGCATCATCCAGCAGGGGATGGAGACTCTCCCTAGCCTTCCACTCGCTGCTGATGTATTTACAGAAATATTTACTGTTGTCCTTCGCCTTAGCGGCCAAGTTCAGTTCTAGCTGGCCTTTGGCTTTTCTAATTTTCTCCCTGCACGGCTTCACTACGTACTCGTAATTGTCATAAGTTGCTTGCCCATTCTTCAAATACCAAAAACTTTACTTTTGTTCCCGAGTTCCAGCCAAAGGTCTCTGTTCAGCCTGACCGGCTTCCTTGCCCGTCAACTTGTCTTCCATGACTCGGTGACGGTCAGCTCCTGCACTTTTAAAATAACTTCCATAAAAGTATGCCCAGCCTTCCCGGGCTCCTGTGCGCTCCAGAACTGCCTCCCAAGGGACCTTCTCAACCACGGTCCAAAAGAGGCCAAGGTCTGCCCTCTGGAAGTCCAAGGGGGCAGCAGTTCCTGCTGACTCCCATCCGTGCTTCAACAGGGATCGGAAAATGCAGTATCTTGGGATCACTTTGCCAACTCACAGAATCACAGAATCACCCGGGTTGGAAGGGACCTCAAGGATCATGTAGTTCCAACCCCCCTGCCTAGCAGGGCCACCAAACATACACCTTCAGATCAGGTTGCCCAGGACCCCGTCCAACCTGGCCTTGAACACGTCCAAGGACGGGGCATCCACAACCTCCCTGGGCAGCCCGTTCCAGGGCCTAACCACTCTCCTTGTAAAGAACTTCCCCCTAACATCCAACCTAAATCTTCCCTCCTTCAACTTGCATCCATTTCCCCTAGTCCTGCTGTTGTCAGCCCTTCTGAAGAGTTTACTCCCCTCCTGGGTGTAGGTTCCCTTCAGGTATTGATAGGCTGCAATGAGGTCACCCCGCAGCCTTCTCTTCTCCAGGCTGAACAAGCCCAACTTCCTCAGCCTGTCCTCATAGGGGAGGTGCTCCAGCCCTCTGATCATCTTAGTCGCCCTCCTCTGGTCCCTTTCCAAAATCTCAATGTCTTTCTTGTACTGAGGGCTCCACACCTGGACACAGTGCTCCAGATGGGGCCTCACAAGAGCCGAGTAGAGAGGGACAATCACCTCCCTGTCCCTGCTGACCACCCCTCTCCTGATGGAGCCCAGGATCCCATTTGCCTTCCGAGCTGCCAGAGCGCACTGCTGGCTCATGTTCAGTCTCTCGTCCATCAGGACCCCCAGGTCCTTCTCTGCCGAGCTGCTCTCAAGGACCACTCCTCCCAGCCTGTACGGGTGCCTGGGGTTCTTCCGGCCCAAATGCAAAACCTTGCACTTTGCCGTGTTGAACCTCATTAGGTTCACCCGAGCCCAGCCCTCCAGCCTGTCGAGGTCCCTCTGAATGGCATCCCTTCCTTCCACCGTATCAACCGCACCACTCAGCTTGGTGTCGTCAGCAAACTTGCTGAGGGTGCACTCAATTCCCTCATCGATGTCATTAATAAAGACGTTAAAGAGCACCGGTCCCAAGACAGACCCTTGGGGGACACCACTTGTTACCGGCCTCCACCTGGACATAGAGCCATTGACCACCACCCTCTGTCTGCGGCCTTTCAACCAATTGCTTATCCATCGGGTTGTCCACCCATCAAATCCACTTCCCTCCAACTTGGAGATGAGGATGTGGTGGGGGACCATGTCAAAGGCCTTGCTCAGGTCCAGGTAAATGACATCGGTCGCCTTCCCTTCGTCCACCAATGCCGTCACGCCATCATAGAAGGCCACAAGATTAGTCAGGCATGACCTTCATTTGGTGAAGCCGTGCTGGCTGTCTCGGATCACATGCTCATTCTTTATGTGATCGAGCATGTTGTCCAGGAGGATCTGTTCCATCATCTTCCCAGGCACGGAGGTGAGACTCACCAGCCTGTAGTTCCCCGGTCCTCCCTGCTCCCCTTCTTGTATATGGGAGTGACGTGACCCTTCCTCCAGTCATCCGGGACCTCACCTGACAGCCACGACTTCTCAAATATGATGGAGAGCGGCTCGGCAACCACCTCAGCCAGCTCCTTCAGGACCCTGGGATGCACGCCATCCGGCCCCATAGACTTGTATTCATTCAGTCTAAGGAGGCACTCTCGGACTTGCTCTGCCCTTACAGTGGGGAGGGATTTACCTCCTTGGTCCCCACACAGAGGTTTGGGGATGCAGGGTTCAGGGACGGGAAAAAGACTAGAATCCGGGCCACCAGTGAAGACCGAGGTGAAGAACTCATTCAGCACCTCAGCTTTCTCTTCATCTGTTGAAGCCAGTTCTCCTTTTAAATTTACCAAAGTAGGTACGCCCGTTTTGGCCTTTCTCTTCTGGCCAATGTACCTGTAGAAGGTTTTCTTATTGTTTTTCACGTCCCTTGCCAAGTTCAGTTCTGCCTGCGCCTTGGCTTCCCTGATCCCACGTCTGCAAGTCCGGACGGCATCCCTGTACTCTTCCCAGGTGACACAGCCTTGTTTCCAGAGCTTGTACACCCCTTTCTTCGCCCTCAGTTCTCTCAGCAGGTCCTTGCTGAGCCATGCCGGTTTCCTACCTCGCCTGCCCACTTTCTTATTCAGAGGAATGGAGACCACTTGTGCTTCCAGGAGGGCATCTTTGAAGAGCCGCCAGCTCTCCTCAACATCCTTGTCCTTGTCAGCCGCTCCCTCCCTCCTCCTCCCCAACAGGAGAGCAGGAGAAAAGGGAATGAAAAGGCTTATGGGGCGAGATAGACAATAGGGAGATCTCTTAACAGTTACTCCGATGGACAAAAGAGACTCAACATGGGAAAAAAGTTGAATGAATTGATGTTTTATTTGATGTTAACATTGTGGCTTTGTGATTTTTGTTGCTGATATTCCACCTCAGAAGATCACGTAAAATAGTGGGAGTTAAAGAGTTAATGTTCTGGTTCCTTGAACTGCCATTCATGGGCACGTGGGGTCCTCGGATGGGAGGGGAGGAGCGGCATTCCCGAGGACCTAGCGCGCAGAGGAGGAAAGGTGGAGCTACTGGCAGGACACCAGCCTCTTCTTCCCACTCTTGGTTTGCCACGGAGAAAAGCACGTGCTTCCCCTGCAGTCTTCTAACATGAGATCTTGTATTTTGGATACTTCCGTCTCTCTCATTTTGTTTGATTTTGTTGGATTCAGTAAATTCAGCTCCTCCTCAGACAGTTGCCATTGATTTTGTTTTTGTTGTTGGTTGGTTTTCTTTGTTGTCAGACACACGTGTTGTCTCCCTTCCCCCTCTCCTGGAGCGCACGGCCCACATCATGCCTTGCCTTGTTAGTCACAGAGCTGAGGCCGGATGTGCCGCGCTGTTAGAAGGTAGGGTAATTTTTGTTGCCACTCTCTTTTTGTCCCCTGGGTTTGTGCCCCTGTCACGGGCTCAGATCTGGAGACTCCTCCACGAAAGGTGAACCAAGTGGCTTTCCCTTAGCTTCACCGTCAGGGGCTGGATTGCCGTGGAGCCTGAACTGATACACACACGTGTAGTCCGGGTGGCCCCAGTTGCTCAGCACTCGCAGCTTGATGTAATTGATGAACCCGGAGTGCTTGTTCTGCAATGAGAAAAAGAAATGAACTGTGTTTTCCTCTCTCCTCTTTGGCCACTGACAATGCAGGAGTGACACACTCACGCAAAATCCTACTTCAGTCTGCCTTGCTAGGTCTTCTGACACGCTGATAAGCTGCCATAGCGCAATCAAGACATTTCTTACCCTGCTCCACCTCTTTGGCCACGTGAGTTTTAAAGAAATAAACAGCTACCAAAAGCTGCAGCAAATACACAGCCAAGTTCTTTGCACTTGCTTTGAGTGTGTGTTCTCACACAGAAAAACGCAGGGGTCGTAAGTCTCATTGCTTTCTCCAGAATGTCACCCATCAGAATGGCCTCCCTGATGCTGCCCATTACCGGCAACGACAAAATCCTTGGAAAGCCACACATCCCCAGTGTGAAAGTAGCCCGCCAACAGTACTGCACCCTACGTGAGGCAGCCGCTTGTGTGCAATTGGAAGCCACCTGGTCATGGCAATTTCTGCTGCAAGTGTAGCTGGAGCTTAGCTGAAGCAGCTATAAGCTGAAGCAGCTCTGCAGCTTAAAAGCCAGAAGGAAACAGAAACAGCCCAGCGGTCCGGGCATATGCAGGCAGTATAGAGGCAGCAGCAGACATGCAAGAGGGCCCTCATACGCCTCAGGCTTGGAAGCTTTTCCCCAGCCAACCGCGGTTCTCCTCTCCCACGCTTCACGTCCCTCTTTGTAACCTTACCTGCAGCTGGAAGGTCTGACTGGGATCCTGGCCTGGCGTGAAGGTGAACTCTCCTAGCAAAGTTCCTTCCTTGTCACCTTCTTCCTGCAGGCCCTACAGGAAGACAGGGGTGGAGAAAACAGAACAGTGGGATGCGCTGCTGGAAGAGGATCACAGTGCCCCACAGGACTTTCTGCAGCAAAGGTGGTCTAGGACCATCCACTGTGCCACTTCCCTTTCCCTCTGCCTCTCAAACTACCAACTCGCCCCAAGAGCGGGAAACCTTCTTTGCTGTGCTACCTTGGACAAAAAAGGAACGCTGTGGAAATGGAGCAACTCTGAGGAGCTTGTTTCTCGCCCTGTGCAGGGAAGAACTGCACGCAGCAGCCCTCTTGGATCTGCAACCACCCTCCACGTCAAACGCTACGCAAAACTACTGCCACATCCCAGAGGAATCACTTACATAGACAGCAAAGTCCTTAGGAGCACTGGAGGTGCTGTCTGCATGGTAGGCCATTGCTGGAACTCCATGGTTTAACGTAACTGCCGTGGGAAAGATGGCCCTGGGCAACTTGATGAGGACGTGCCCTTGGCTTCCTGGGAAGGGCCAGCAGTTACCTGGCTGATTGTCAGGCTGAAAAGAGAAGAAGAAACAGCGTTCATGTGCAAAAGAGCGTCCTGGCTGAAAATCCTGCTGCAGCATCAGGGGCTCTGCAGGTGTACTGGCCCACCAGCTCTGCTCCAAAGCACAGGCATACGGGCATGGCGGTGAGCTGGGTGCACAACCTGCAGAAGCTCTTGGGCTCCTTCTTTTGTGGGGCAGCTTGCAAAAAATAAAAAAGAGGGGCTGCTGTGGCTGAAAGGCACCTGCCCGGGGCAAAGAAGGGCCCACCTGCACGAGCCTTTCCTGCAAGGGGAAGCAATCGCTCCCTCTCATTCAGTCCCACCCCCTTCCCCCGGCACCAGCCAGGGCTCCGACTTGTGCAGGTAGCTCAGGAGCAGTGCCAGGATGGGCTGGCAAACACAACAAGGGGCCCTCCTGCAGTGCACGCCCTCCGTGCCCTCTGGGGTTCATTAAGAGCCCCAGCGTTCTCGCAGCCCGGATCTCTCGTGGAACCTTATGGGTTCCCCTTCAGTGCCGGCCAGACAGCTCCAGAATGGCTGGGAAGACAAGCAAGCTAGCCTGGCAGAAGCTTCCACAGAGGACCTGGGGCAGTCTGGCAGAAGAAATTCTCTGCCGGGATACACAGGAAGGGAGTAGGTCCTCGCAAGAAGGGGTGAAGACAAGGGTAAAGGCAACCCTCAGCAGGGCGTATGGCCCCCTCTGCCCCGCACCGTTCTTCCTCTGTTTCACACTGTTCTTACCTCAAGAATAATCTCAGGAGGCCTCATATATGGTGTCAGCAGCAACGAGTGCCAGAAGGCTTTCCCGCTTCCAATCCAGGAGGGAGAAGTCTTGGAACGAACGATAGCGGCGCCTGCAAATAAAAACACGGGCACAGTGGTCAAGCAAGGCCAGGAGGAACCAAGGGCTGCTGACTCTGTTTTCCACATGAACAGCTGCACAGAAATGCCGGCTGCCTTTGCACTGTCCTCTTCAAAAGAGTTTCAAAGGCAGCCATACATCCCCAACAGTGATATTCCCCTCGTTCTCACCTGCCGTATCCCTCTGCAACACAATGCAGGGACTCGCTCAGCTATCCTAAGGGGCCACATAAACTGACAGCCAGCTGAGCAGTCACGTGAGAAACAACACCAAGTAGGAGTAGCACTTTTCAGATGTGCTCCAGCCCGTTGAAGGCTCTCTCAGCAAGCACATTCTCAGGGCACACGGTGGCCATTCACTCCTCACCCCTTCTCCCCTACCCTGCCCAAATGCCCATCCTGTCAAACTGGACAAGACGCCCTTTGGAACCACCATCTGTGGTCTGGTTGTTTCTACAGCTTAACGGCACCTGAAGTTTTGCTGGCATAATTACGCATCTGGAATGGGCTTTCTTCCAGCTTCTCCAGGACTTGATTGATCATCTCTTGAACAGCCTGGGAAGGAAGACAAAGGAGAGCGCTCGTCAGAAGGAAAAGAAAAGGGAAAAGAGTTGCCTCCCAGCTCCCCTACAAAGCCTGCCAAAGCAAACTCGGCTGCTCCACTTGGATGTAATTCACACTGCCTGGGAGTTGCCTGCGAACCTCCAGAGCTCTACTATGACCATCTGGCACGGGAACAGAGAGGCTGCTCACTCCAGCGCACTGGACACGGATGCGGCACGAATGGGCTTTTCCTGTCGAGATGCCCCATGACAGGCAGGCTGCGCTGACAGTCCTGCTGGCCAGGAGATGGGGCTCGAGTCAGGCACGAGGCAGGGATTGCCCAGAGGTCACCACAACTGCTGCAGGCCAGCCACACACAGAGAGTTAACTTGAAGCAGAAGACAGAGCTTGCCTACTGCAATGGGGAAGAAAGGCAAAACGCAGAAGGAACTAATGCCTGCCAGGCCTCGGGCTAACATGGCCTTTGAGATTCCCATCACGGGAATCACCGTCAGCTCAGGCTTCGGGCAGACCTGGGGCCGTGCGAGCTCAAGCCACCAAAAGAGACGGTGTCCACGGAGCAAGGGCTCTGAAACCAGAACAGCCTTCAGACTGGATGCCCCACGGGGAGGCTGAAACACAGCGTCTCCTGTGCATCTGCACAGGCCCCAGGCACCCAGGGCAGCCGGGCTCAACTCAGGGTGCTGGCTTACAGGTCTTCCAGGGGAACCTGCCACCTCATGCACAGCAGAAGGTGCAGGGAAGGACTGACAGAGAGCAAGAAACAACTAAAAGGCATCTGAAATTCCCATCAGAGTTCATTCCTTTCCCCCACAAGAGCTCCGGAGCAACAGAGAAAAGGACCGATGGTGATGCACCAGCATTTCTTCCTGCTGGACAAGCCTTTTAGCTGTCTGTGACAGGGAACGCTAGAGAGATATAATGCCACAGTGGCGAAAGAACTCTCTCAGCAGAGCTTTTTGCAATGTCCTCTTACCTCGCTGGTAAAGCCTGGGAGCTCAGTTCTCTTCAGGGCCTCGTGGAGAGCACGCAGGGTGATGTCCTTTGCTCCCCATTGCAGGAAACGAAGCTGCTGCTGGATCTTCTCGAGCTCTTGTTCCACCCTCAGCATTTCCAGATCATCACCCACCAGCCTAGAGACAGCAGGTAATTGATGGAGACAGCGCACACAGCTGTCTTCTCACAAGCCGTGAGATGTGAGGCAGAGAACGAGCCTCACTCCGTGTGACGACAGGGTAACCGAGGTTTAATAGAGAGTTGACAATACTGGTTGGCAAGCTCCAAGAGCTCCCGACCGAGAAGCTGCTTCCTGGCTTCCTGGCTAACTTTGGGGGAACTAACGGACATGGAGAGATAGCAGCTCGAATGGGGAAGGGGAGAAACTCGGGGCATTGGTCACAGAAGTTGGACTCGGGTAACAAGTGGTCATGGACAAGGGGCAGAGCTCCTCTAGAGAAGAGTCCAGCCAAAGGGAGATTCTTTTCTTACCGTGAAGTCTTTTTTTCCACTGCCCTTGAGCCTCCAGCAAGACTTCCAACGCAGTAAACACCTGCCAGGAATTCCACAAAGCTCTCCATAAATCACCTCTATAAATGTTCTGCCTTGGGCTGCCCACTCCCCTATCCCTGGGCAGAACAAATTGTTGGAGGCTTCCGAAAGAAGCATCCTCAAATCAGAGCTCTACTGAGACTCACCGAAGGACATCACAGTCACGGTGAACAGCAGCAGGGAAACTGTCTTCCAAGCCTTAGGTTGCCTACAAAGAAGGAGAAGCGTGGTGAAGAACGGTGAAGCAGGCCGTATCTGTACAGTGCAGAAGACGACTACGGAGCAACAGATGTTTAAAACTTGGGAAGGAACCATATCCTTACCGGTTCCCACGCCTGCCTTGCTGTCGTTTCGCCATTTCTCCGAAGCACAGCGACAAAAGACGCAGCTCGAAGCACAGCGACAAAAGAAAGACGCAGCTCGAAGCACAGCGACAAAAGACGCAGCTCGAAGCACAGCGACAAAAGACGCAGCTCGAAGCACAGCGACAAAAGACGCAGCTCGAAGCACAGCGACAAAAGACGCAGCTCGAAGCACAAGCCACAAAAGACGCAGCTCGAAGCACAAGCCACAAAAGACGCAGCTCGCAAGGAGTGAGCCAAACCCTGTCCAACAGCTATGCCGTCAGGACCGAGAGTGGCCAAGGGCGGGGACAAGCTGCCTCAGTGCTGAGGGCCCTCTGTGACTTCACAATGGTCAGTGATGTCACCGCAGAGCAGGCAGCGCCATGTTTTGAGGGACAGGGAACAGGCTTTGCACCTCCTGCCTGCAGGGGAAAAGATCCTACAAGGTCAAAAAAAAACCAAACACCTCCTGCCCAGCAGCCTGCTTGGTAGGATTTTGCTGAAGGGGAACGGGCTGGGAGCTACAAGCCGCCTGCCTTTTCGGTCCCTGCTTTTGATGCCCTGTACATCAGATGTCTCACTCCGGGTACCCAGACTTTTCCAATGCTTTCCTATATCTGTCTTCCTACTGTCAGCCAGCGCTTCTTTACAGCCACGGCACAAGCAGACGTGAAGGACCACAGATGTTGGTAGAAAGCACCAACAGGAAAAAACTGCACGTAGTTCTCCCTGCTTGTGAGAATTTCCACGCACGTACATGCATGTCAGTTGTTGCCTTTTTTAAGATGTCAAGTAAATTATCCTGTGGTCAAAAAAACACCAAAATTCTTCTGTTTGCACCAACCTCTAAGGCATTTGTTTGTGAGGTGGCTTTTGCTGATCCTCTTGGTATCCTTCCCCGCCACGGAAGGGGCAGAAGAAAAAACCACTTGCACACCCGCTCCATCAACTACCCGCGCAAGTCCTCTGAAGTCTTTTTTCATAGTCCTCATGCTTTTCTCAGTGACTTCATCACTGCCGGCCTGAACTGTCAATAAGGGGTAATAATCAGAAGGGCCAATGAGACCAGGAAGTTTCCCAGAAACGTCCCTGACCCGCGCCCCAAGGAGGCAGCAGTCCTCCCTACTGGTAGGGTCCAGCTGACACGCAGGGCCCTCCGCTCCTCTCAGCAGGGAGCTGCCAATGACAGCCACCCTTCTTTCCTTCCAGGTGGAGGCAGTCTTGACGCGTGAGGTCGACTGCTTCGCCCGGGACAACCTCCCAAGTGGACCTTCCCCCACACCCTGATCCACCTCTCCCTTGAGTTCCGGGGCCTCACGCCTATTTTGCAGAGGCACCTGGGGAACCGAGCTTGGTCGGGACGGCGCTTGCCTACATCGCCTGGCCGGGACCCATTTCCACTCCTCCTCTTCTCTCAAACTGCCTCGCTCTGCTCGGCAACGGCAGGGCAGGGGGCCCACCTCTGCCTGATGAGTATCACCCCCACGTCTACCTCTCAGAGGCTTACACCACAAGCCTGCCTCCCGCTCACGCTTTCTGATACTCCTGAACCTCTCAACGTCCTCCTGGAGTGCAGCCACCATATGCAGCACATCATCCACCTGCTCGCACTTCAGGCAGCTTGCCTTCCTGCCTGCCTTCTCCGGCACCAACGGACTCAGTCACTTGCTGCAGCCACAGACTTGAACTTCCACTTCTTCAGGCAGGGGCTCTGAGTCACCACTGTATTTCTCCCCAGGCCGTTCCACCCGGTGGACACCACGGTGAGATACGTTATCCGGGAGGCAGGCGGCAGTTCTACTAGTGGGCAGAGATTCCAGGCCCCCTGCACACTGCCGTGCCTCCCCGCTTCTCCGCCCAGCCCACTGCCGTCTCGTGCCCCGTAAGCTCGCCCTGCTCCCTGCGGCCCGCAGCAGGTTATACACGCAGGGGCGGTCCCCCGCTGCTCCTGGCTCCGCCGCCTCGGCGTCAGTTTACTGCTGCCGCGCGGAGGACAATGGCGGCCGGCAGTGCTCTCTAATAGGGCCACCCGTCAAGCCGAGGCGATTCCCTGCTGCAGTGCGGAGTGCGTCCGCTCCGTGCCGAGCACCTGTTAAAGCAGGTTCCCTGTGGTGGGCTACCCAGGAAAGCGTCCAGCCTGGTTCACTGCTCTGATAGCCACACAGTCAAGAAACATTCCCTCGTGTTCGCATGGAATTTCCTCTGTTCCTCCGTGTGCCCGTTGCCCCTTAATCCTGGCTGTAGGCACCAGCAAAAAGAGCCTGACCCCACCCACTCGACTACTGTGCATTAGATATTTACAAGCGGTGATAAGATCCCCCCTCAGCCTTCTCTTCTCCAGGCTGAACAGGCCCAGCCCTCGCACCCTTTCCCCATGAGGGAGATGCTCCCCAGGACACGGTACTCCAGATGCGGCCTCACCAGGGCAGGGGAGAGGGGGAGGATCACCTCCCTTGACCTGCGGGCCGCGCTGTTCGGAAGGCAGCCCAGGATCCCACTGGCCACAAGGCTGGCTCACAGCCACCCCGTTGCCCACCGGGACACCGAGGCCGTTCCACACAGAGCTTCTCTCCAGCACGTCGTTCCCTCACCTGTAGTGACGCACGCTCTTAATCCTCCTTCTTCTTCCTGTGTGTGCCCATTGCCTCTTAATTCAGTCACTCAGCAACAGCAAAAAAGAGCCTGGCCCCAACCAGCGACTAATATCCATCAGATATTTATAAGCATTGATAAGACCAACTCTCAGCCTTCTCTTCTTGCGCTGAGGAGCCCAGGACAGGACACGGTACTCCAGATGCGGCCTCACCAGGGCAGGGGAGACGGGGAGGATCACCTCCCTTGACCTGCTGGCCACGCTCTTTGGAAGGCAACCCAGGATCCCACTGGCCTTCTTGGCCGCCTGAGCACCCTGCTGCCTCATAGTCAGCCGACTGTCCGTCAGTACACCAAGTCCTTTTCCGTCAGGCAGCTTTCCAGCCACCCCTCTCCAAGCCCGTAGGGTTGCCTGGGGCTGTTGTGACCAAAATGCAGGACCCGACACCTGGCCCTGCGGAAACTCATAGAGTTTACCGCGGCCCAGCGACCCAGGTCCCTCTGTAGTGCCTTTTCCCCCCCCTGGCAGAGCAACGCTCCCTCCCAACTTGGAGTCATCCGCAAACCCACTGAGGGTGCACTCAATTCCCTCATCAAGATCGTTAATAAAGATGTCAAACAGAAGCGGCCTCAGTACCGAGCCCTGGAGGACACCACTCTGGACTGGCCGCCAACTGCACTTAACTCCACTGACCACAGCTCTTTGGGCCCGGCGTTTCACCCAGCGGAGCGTACGCCCATCCAAACCGTTGGCAGCCGCCTCTCCACAAGAATGTTGTGGGGGAGGGTGCCAAAGGCAGACCACATTGACAGCCATACCTTCATCCATTGAGTGCCTTACCTTGTCATAGAATGAAGTCAGGTTTGTCAGACAGGATCTACCATTCATAAAGCCATGCTGATTGGGCCTCATCCCCCAGTTTACCATTAACTGGTCCGTGAGGCCTCCCGAGACGATCCATTTCATGGCCTTCCCTGGCACCGAGGTGAGACTACAGGTCTGTAGCTATCAGGATCATCTTTCCAGCCCTTCTTGAAGATGGGTGTCACGTTTGCCAGTCCAACGGGACGTTTCCAGTTAGCCAGGACTGCCGAAAGAGGGTGGAGAGTGGCTCGGCAACCACATCCGCCAACTCCCTCAGCACCCTAGGACGCAGTCCATCTGGCCCCACGGACTTGTGAGCACCCAGCTTTCAGAGCAGGTCCCAAACCATCTCATCGTGGATTGTGCAGGGCCTATTCTGTTCCCCATCCCTACCTACCGGCACAAGGGGCTGTGTGCCCAGGGAGTAACTAGTCTTACTATTAAGGACTGAGGCAAAGAAGGTGTATGGGAGCTGCTGAGTCACAGCCTGAACCACTGATTGATCGCCTGAGGCAAGGACTGACTCAGCCACGGGAGCACGGGTGGAGGCAATTCAACTGTGTGACCCGGAGGGGTGCAGCCTGGCTCCACCTCTCCCAGACCCCATTTGAGGGCTGACTGCCGCTGGGGAAGGATCTCTTTCCGGAGATCCCTCCCTTTGGAGTTTTCTACTGCGAGCCTAGGCCACGGCTGAGCGTTTGATTTTTGATTCTCCCTTTCCACCACGATAATCTTTCTAATGATAAAACCCGTATAATACCATCCTAACCACGCCACTCTGCTATCTGTACGTTTGTAAATCATACAGAACAAGTACCTCAGCCTTATCCTGACCCTTGGTCACCACGTTGCCCTCAGCATCATCCAGCAGGGGATGGAGACTCTCCCTAGCCTTCCACTCGCTGCTGATGTATTTACAGAAATATTTACTGTTGTCCTTCGCCTTAGCGGCCAAGTTCAGTTCTAGCTGGCCTTTGGCTTTTCTAATTTTCTCCCTGCACGGCTTCACTACGTACTCGTAATTGTCATAAGTTGCTTGCCCATTCTTCAAATACCAAAAACTTTACTTTTGTTCCCGAGTTCCAGCCAAAGGTCTCTGTTCAGCCTGACCGGCTTCCTTGCCCGTCAACTTGTCTTCCATGACTCGGTGACGGTCAGCTCCTGCACTTTTAAAATAACTTCCATAAAAGTATGCCCAGCCTTCCCGGGCTCCTGTGCGCTCCAGAACTGCCTCCCAAGGGACCTTCTCAACCACGGTCCAAAAGAGGCCAAGGTCTGCCCTCTGGAAGTCCAAGGGGGCAGCAGTTCCTGCTGACTCCCATCCGTGCTTCAACAGGGATCGGAAAATGCAGTATCTTGGGATCACTTTGCCAACTCACAGAATCACAGAATCACCCGGGTTGGAAGGGACCTCAAGGATCATGTAGTTCCAACCCCCCTGCCTAGCAGGGCCACCAAACATACACCTTCAGATCAGGTTGCCCAGGACCCCGTCCAACCTGGCCTTGAACACGTCCAAGGACGGGGCATCCACAACCTCCCTGGGCAGCCCGTTCCAGGGCCTAACCACTCTCCTTGTAAAGAACTTCCCCCTAACATCCAACCTAAATCTTCCCTCCTTCAACTTGCATCCATTTCCCCTAGTCCTGCTGTTGTCAGCCCTTCTGAAGAGTTTACTCCCCTCCTGGGTGTAGGTTCCCTTCAGGTATTGATAGGCTGCAATGAGGTCACCCCGCAGCCTTCTCTTCTCCAGGCTGAACAAGCCCAACTTCCTCAGCCTGTCCTCATAGGGGAGGTGCTCCAGCCCTCTGATCATCTTAGTCGCCCTCCTCTGGTCCCTTTCCAAAATCTCAATGTCTTTCTTGTACTGAGGGCTCCACACCTGGACACAGTACTCCAGATGGGGCCTCACAAGAGCCGAGTAGAGAGGGACAATCACCTCCCTGTCCCTGCTGACCACCCCTCTCCTGATGGAGCCCAGGATCCCATTTGCCTTCCGAGCTGCCAGAGCGCACTGCTGGCTCATGTTCAGTCTCTCGTCCATCAGGACCCCCAGGTCCTTCTCTGCCGAGCTGCTCTCAAGGACCACTCCTCCCAGCCTGTACGGGTGCCTGGGGTTCTTCCGGCCCAAATGCAAAACCTTGCACTTTGCCGTGTTGAACCTCATTAGGTTCACCCGAGCCCAGCCCTCCAGCCTGTCGAGGTCCCTCTGAATGGCATCCCTTCCTTCCACCGTATCAACCGCACCACTCAGCTTGGTGTCGTCAGCAAACTTGCTGAGGGTGCACTCAATTCCCTCATCGATGTCATTAATAAAGACGTTAAAGAGCACCGGTCCCAAGACAGACCCTTGGGGGACACCACTTGTTACCGGCCTCCACCTGGACATAGAGCCATTGACCACCACCCTCTGTCTGCGGCCTTTCAACCAATTGCTTATCCATCGGGTTGTCCACCCATCAAATCCACTTCCCTCCAACTTGGAGATGAGGATGTGGTGGGGGACCATGTCAAAGGCCTTGCTCAGGTCCAGGTAAATGACATCGGTCGCCTTCCCTTCGTCCACCAATGCCGTCACGCCATCATAGAAGGCCACAAGATTAGTCAGGCATGACCTTCATTTGGTGAAGCCGTGCTGGCTGTCTCGGATCACATGCTCATTCTTTATGTGATCGAGCATGTTGTCCAGGAGGATCTGTTCCATCATCTTCCCAGGCACGGAGGTGAGACTCACCAGCCTGTAGTTCCCCGGTCCTCCCTGCTCCCCTTCTTGTATATGGGAGTGACGTGACCCTTCCTCCAGTCATCCGGGACCTCACCTGACAGCCACGACTTCTCAAATATGATGGAGAGCGGCTCGGCAACCACCTCAGCCAGCTCCTTCAGGACCCTGGGATGCACGCCATCCGGCCCCATAGACTTGTATTCATTCAGTCTAAGGAGGCACTCTCGGACTTGCTCTGCCCTTACAGTGGGGAGGGATTTACCTCCTTGGTCCCCACACAGAGGTTTGGGGATGCAGGGTTCAGGGACGGGAAAAAGACTAGAATCCGGGCCACCAGTGAAGACCGAGGTGAAGAACTCATTCAGCACCTCAGCTTTCTCTTCATCTGTTGAAGCCAGTTCTCCTTTTAAATTTACCAAAGTAGGTACGCCCGTTTTGGCCTTTCTCTTCTGGCCAATGTACCTGTAGAAGGTTTTCTTATTGTTTTTCACGTCCCTTGCCAAGTTCAGTTCTGCCTGCGCCTTGGCTTCCCTGATCCCACGTCTGCAAGTCCGGACGGCATCCCTGTACTCTTCCCAGGTGACACAGCCTTGTTTCCAGAGCTTGTACACCCCTTTCTTCGCCCTCAGTTCTCTCAGCAGGTCCTTGCTGAGCCATGCCGGTTTCCTACCTCGCCTGCCCACTTTCTTATTCAGAGGAATGGAGACCACTTGTGCTTCCAGGAGGGCATCTTTGAAGAGCCGCCAGCTCTCCTCAACATCCTTGTCCTTGTCAGCCGCTCCCTCCCTCCTCCTCCCCAACAGGAGAGCAGGAGAAAAGGGAATGAAAAGGCTTATGGGGCGAGATAGACAATAGGGAGATCTCTTAACAGTTACTCCGATGGACAAAAGAGACTCAACATGGGAAAAGTTGAATGAATTGATGTTTTATTTGATGTTAACATTGTGGCTTTGTGATTTTTGTTGCTGATATTCCACCTCAGAAGATCACGTAAAATAGTGGGAGTTAAAGAGTTAATGTTCTGGTTCCTTGAACTGCCATTCATGGGCACGTGGGGTCCTCGGATGGGAGGGG